ATGAAGAAATTAACATCAGATGCACCAGTAACGCAACCCATGTATTGAACCGGCTAGCCCCTAGTCCCCTTTTACAAATAAGATAACCCCAGTCAGCAGCACTGAGAAACATCTCATACAAAGCATATCTATCTCCAATCTAATGCTATCACTGCCAGACATAATCACTCACAACGAACCGTAAACGAACATTATTAACCACAGAAATGAGATGACTGTGAAGGGCGGGATGACCAGAAGTGGTAAATTAGAAATTTAGTCACAAATGAAAAAAAAAGGTTCACACAGAAACAATGCTAAATTACACACGAAGACAACAAATTAAGTAGTCTGTCAATTTAGAGATAATGCCTTGCGACGACATACAATACAAGGCATACATCAAAGGAGGAGAACAACGCAGAGCACAAGGCAGACCAAGAACTACACGGAAAGATAAGATCAGAGAAACTACAACAGCACGATGCGTCTGTCTATGGTCAAGGCAGCTAGAAGAGCAAGAAACGGAACCATATATCCCCCTCAAAACGGTAACAACGAATTCGAAGAAGAAGAAGACGACGACGAAGAAGAAAAGAACCTAAGTACTGTTATTTAGTGTGTATTTTTGTTTTCAATCCACTTTCCTTGTCAAGCTTTTGTATGTCCTCTTAAGAAGAGTGCTATGCTTTCCTGTGTGTGGGGTATTTACGATGGGATTTCCATGTCTCAGCGAACCGACTAATACATCTCTTATAGGGGTCTTCTTGTTGCTGTTTCCCTATATCTAAATACCAGTACCTCAAGTTTGTTGTATACTATTAGGAAGTTGTCTCATTAGACGACCACACACAGTAAACTTACTGGTACTTTCATAAACAGGGGAAATCCACGGGACAGTCAAATCTTTCAGGGGGTGGTAGATTAGGCGTATAGTTTTGGTTAGGGTTAGGGGTGCTTTCTTTTTAGCCGACCGCAAATGACGTCACTGGACAGTCCAATATTTTAAATGGGTGATTCAGCGCGTTTCTTCCAATGACAAGGTTTTCGCGCGTTTATCTAACCCTAACCACGGCCGACTCTGTGTATCTGTTTGGAGAAGGCGGTGCCCTAACCCACGTCCGGCTGTATATATATATATCTAGAGTTGGCCGTGCCCTAACCTTAGCGCAAACCCTAATCAAAACTATACGCTTGTTGTCCGGCTCTCTGGCGTATTGGTTAGACCTGACTTCCCGATGACAGGGTGATGAGCTCCTTGTGGCCCGATCTCACTCCCGGGGGCAGACAGAAAAGCCACATTTCCCCCAGATTTACGGTACCTATCATGGAAGCAAGGCCGAAGGATTGCGATATCTATAGTACCGAGCCAATAGGTTAACAACTCATGGTTTCTGGATTAAAATAAAATATCTACCACGCCGTGAAACAAATGAATGTCGGCGCTTCTTTGATTTATTCCCCAAAATGGCGGCATGCCACATTCTGGCTATAAAATATCCAAAAATATCCGAACGACGGTGTTCGCGTTTATCTAAAATACGGACTTTCTGCCAACGAACAAATCGCGGCAAAATTAGGATTACTTGACAACCAATATCAACATTTGCACACGGTACTAGTAGCAGACGATAAATACCGACCGTTGACAAAAATTTCGAGCGTTTCTGCAGACGACGATACTAGCAGACGATATTAGCGACCGTTGACCAATTTCGAGACATTAAAGACGATGAAAACGATTAGCAATACTGTGTTCTTCTGATTGGAGGATTTAACAGCGGCAGATGTCAGACTTGTCGGCATGCGCCAAACGCGATTAAACTCATCGCCGAGCGTATCTAGGTGCCTGGGACTCACGAGTACAGTAATTGGAGGAAGTTGCAGGAGATGCGGTAGCTGCCACTCGTGAGTCCCAGCCATCTAGTTTAGCCCCCATCCGCGCCGCGCGTATACGCTCGGCGGTGAGGCACACTCGCAGAAGCAGGTCGGCAAGCAACATATCGCCTAGACCCTGTCAGAGCTTTTGTTTCGTTATTCGGAGCAGGCACATATATTTTTAATAGAACTGACCCCGCATTCGGATATTTTTGGATATTTTATGGCCAGAAATTTGCCAATTTAGCTCCTTTTTGAACGCCATCATATTACAGCCGCCATTTTGGGGAACGATTCAAAGGAGCGCCTGAATGTCCCGTGACCTGTGGATTTTCCATGTTTGTGGTACAATCTGTTCAGACCGCAGTACATATCCACTTATACTAACGTTGTATAATAATTCCACAGGGAAGCGTGCATAGCAAGGGTCCACCGATCATCAGTAGAAAGGTCCTTCGGCGACGATGCTTTCGGTCCATTTACTTGCTAGACGATCTCGGAAGGTGGGCCGACCTGGGTCATGAATCCAGACCTCGGACATCCTCTGCTGCACTGAATCGGAGGTTATGTCAATCTCCGTCGTTCTTCTGCGATCGCCCTAAAAAGGGATGTTGACATGTTGTGATTTACAGCTACGCTGAGATATCTGCCTTTTTTTGACCCAACAGATACGATTTCAGCAAACCCCTAATTAGTCGCCTCTTGTTGCTTTTGCTTTGCGAACGCGCTTCGTAATTCCAAAATACTTGGTTAGATTCCACATGTGTGTGATTTGGTTAGCAGACAACTTTGACTTCGACACTTTTTCTTCTTATTCTTTCGTTCGCTTGAAATTGTTGCAATGTTGTCTCCAGTATACACTTCAATCTTGATCTTGATTGGTGAAAACAAAAATTTCAAAGTGCAGCGACGCTTCTATCTGAGCGTTGGTTATCTGGTCGGCCGGGTTTCTTTGCGGTTTATTTTTGTGGTTTTTTTGTGATGTGTTGCCACATCTGAGTTCTGTTGTTGTTGCTGTTTCCTTTGTTTGCTACGCATTGGGCTGGAATCTGGCGTGGTTCGGGCGGTAGGTTGTCCTTCGGCGTGGTAGGGAGAGGGGTAGCCGTTCTGAAAAGAACGCTACGTTGCCGGGCTAGGTTATTGTGTGGGAAGATGGGCGGGACTGCTGAGCTTCTATTTCGGTTGGTTGGAGTATACAATTCACTGTCTTTTGCAGTTCACATAGCGACCAGTAAAGTTTGGCGTGCACCAATGTATCTCTTAGCCAGAAGTTTTGCCATGTTTTTGAGAGCCAACCGTTGAGTGGCAGTGGCAACTTGCTGAAGGTAAAATTGCCTATTAACATCATATGCCTGCTCTCAAAATGTTGACCGATTTGCTTGCTGAAGCTTAACCATTGACTTTTTATGATTTTTTTTTTCTCTGGCGTTGCTATGGCCATCCTCATTTTACCTTTGGCTTATGTAAACGGCCCCCATTGCTATTTTAGTATGGAGACTGGGTATTCAAAGACTGACAATTTAAATTTCAGCATTTTTTTTTATATTTTTAGGTGATAGGTAATTTTGGCTCAGAATATTATTTTTGATTTCTTTAAAGTCAGGAATTGTTTTTTGATCTTCAATATTTTTTTTTTAAAGTCATGATTAATTGGTCTATTTCCTTCGCACTTTTCGAAGGGAGGACTGTCGTCTGCACAGCAAAGTTCCAAATTGGGTTTTTCGCCAGTTTAAGTGGACAATAACCGTGATAAGTCTGGTTATTTTACTATTACAACACTAGCAGTTTATGTCTTCTTTCTTGTTGAGCAACTGGGTAGACATACTACGGCAATTTTTAACTTCTATTTTATGTTCGCGCTTGTGTAGGTGGCGAAAAAAGTGCTCTTTGGTGCAGGAGCGCTGTCACAAAGAAAGCAGTTCTCCCCCCCCCCTTTCATATAAATTATGGGGGAGGTGGGAGTGCTAAAAATTGAATTTGGGGGGGGGGGGGGGTGTGCCTGAGCTCGCATGTGTCAGAGCATATGCCACAGGATGCCATGCACCGTTGTACAGGGATATTCAACTGTCGACCCGCGGGACAAATCTGGCCAGCCCAGGCCTAGTGAGCGGTCCGAGCATCGTTGCTGGTTGAATTGTGTTAATGCCTCTTTCTATGCTGAGGCTTAAGCCGCTGATCCTTGAGGATACCCATTTTGAAAAATGGCCACTGAGTAATCTAAGCTCACTAGCCCTGCTGTTATGTAGTAGGTTCGCAAACTAGGGGCGCTGGCACAAAAACATGGTTTTGGGTTGGGGCGTTGGACCTCTTACAAATTGTCATGGGGCTTAATGGTCTGAAAACAGTTAAATTGCGTAATAATAATAATAATGATGATGAACGGAGTGGCCAAAAATTATGTTATATTCGAAATCGTATGAAAGTATGAACAAATCAGTCGGAACTTCTATAAGAGGTAAGGAGGGCCGTTTAGTTTTACAAATTTACTGGGGAAGGGGGGGGGGGACCTCATCTCCACCCCCACTCACAATGTCTAGGAGAGGAGAATGGCTCAATGAGGTACCGAAGCCCCTGCTACCAAGTTCTGACGCTCCCGCCACAAACCATTATTATTTCAATTAGTGAGCTTAATTATATATAGCCGTAACCAAGTTCTTCATAACCTAATACAATCGTACGAACATAAGGGCCATACAAGGCAGAAGCCTCCCTCCGCCCGTACACATGCTGGCTGCGAGAGTACTAGGGGAAGTGGTGGGAGCAGAAAGCAGCAAAACAGCAGCAGTAGCACAGCAGACGTGGCGAACCGCCGTGTTAGTGTGTAGTGTAGGATTTTCTCTGCTCTCTTACATTTGTTTGATTGCCTTTCTCTGCGACTTCTTATCTGTACATATTTTCCTATTTATTAAAATACGCTGATTTGAAATTATTCGAACATTAATTGCTTGTTGGGTGCGAACGAACAGTTGCTGCAGCTTGTCAGATCAGAAGTTGGTAATTTAACCGTCGAAGTGTCCGTCAAGAGAGAAATTTTTGGCGAAACGGTTAGTTAGACCTATTCTTTAGTTTCGTTGTGAAATTCAAAGTATTGATAAAACCACAGGATATTTGGCTTAAAATAGGTTTGTTTAATATAAAAGAAGATGCAAGATGCTGCGCTGTTTGAAAGATCTTCACCGAATTTACTGGCGTCAAGCCAGTTATCGGTCAATGCTAATGGCAACAACAGCAAATCCAGCGAAAACATTTCAGTATCTCCTAAAATAGAACAACTGGATGAAAGCGATGGGTCAGAGCGGTTGAAAAATACCAACATGAATGCAAGTGTTCAGAAGATTGCAAGTGAGACAACGCAGGGATCAGAAGGACAAACGTCCTCACATTCATCAGCACCTTTGATGTGGTCTGGTGCTACTTCAATACCAGTTACCCATTTGCCAGAAGAAACGTATATTCACGGGGTAACGCCTCTAAATAATGGCGGAATTACATTTCAGCAATTTTCAACCATAAATTCAGGATTGTATCACTCTGGTGTTGCACCAAACGCAGTATTGTCCCAGCACAACCGCAGAGCAATAACAGGTCACAGTACTGTGAATAATTTCCCAAGACAGCAAACCACACTTATGGTAAATACATGCAGCAATCCAAAAATGTTGCCCAACTGGAGTAACTCCCAGCAAGCTTCTTGGTCTCCTCATCAACCTCAGGCATCATTGTATCCGCCTTGGAATGTTCAACAACGTAGATCAGTGCCAAATATGAATGCTTTAGCAGCAGCAGCAGCCGCTGCAGCAGCAGCAACTGTGAAAAAGCCAGCCATGCAGCAGCAGCAGATTCAACAGCCATCTTTTTTGTCACCTTCAAAATTCAGGAGAAGTACTTCATTTCCAGGGCATATTCAAGCTTCTCTTGGAGTAAAAAATCCTTACGACTTCACAGCTTTTGATGACGTTGTGAATTATCAGGTAATACTCACTTATTTTTTTATTTTTATTTCAATAGTAGTAAAATAATATTCACCAAACTGTTAAATTGTTAAACTGGTTCATTCAGAGATATTTTGTACATGTATGTTGTTTAAATGTATATAGTAATCCTGAAATTGTTAGTTCTTTTTGTTTCTGCCATTTGTCTCAAGTGGAGCATAGGCCCCCAGTCAGCTTGTATATAGTCATCATATTCTTCACTGGTTTATGTTTTCTCCATTGGATTTACTTTAACGGGCGCACTCACACACACACATAGATATATATATATATAAAGTTTATACTTTTAACAACATGGAGACCAAAAATTACGTGGAGAAAACAATACACATAAAATGGAAAAGGGGCGGGGGGGGGGGGGGGGGGGTGTAGGTCAGAAGTTACTTGAGTTAGTAGATTGAATGACTTGCCTTCTTGGATAAGTGTCAATAACTTGGAGAATTCTGTTGAGAATATGACTGGTAAATTTGGTCTGCTTGATGAAAAAAAATGATTACCAGAACATCTCAGAACTGTAAATGAAGAATGTAAAACAAGGAATGTTAGAATCAACCATGAAAAGACAGAAGTAATGTCAATAGGAAGAAATAAGCAGTACCTAAATATAATAGTAGAGTGCAGTGGCATCTGACTTTGAACATCTGGGAACAACATTTGTCGAAGATAGCAAATTAGATAAAGAAATTAACATCTGATGTAGTAAAGCAAACCATGTATTTGGACAGCTAGTGCCTCTTTTACAACACAGGATTATCCCAATCAGCAGAAAGAAACATCTCTTACAAAGTGTATGCAGGCATCTATTCAGACATCATATTAATTCCAACCCCATGTTCCTAGTACCAGACATGGTCACTCACACAAAAAACAAAAAAAAACTAGATTAGGAAATTAGTAACCATGGAAATGAGATTTCTGGGAAAGACTGCAGCAGTGACCAAAAGAGAGAAAATCAGTAATTAGGTCATAAGAGAGAAAATAAGTAATTGGGTCATAAGAGAGAAAATCAATAATTAGGTCATAAGAGAGAAAATCAGTAATTAGGCCATAAGAGACAAGTCAGGCCAGAGCCAGTTCTGAATTACACACTACTACAAAAGGCTAGACACAGACAGCAAAATAAATAGTTTGCCCACTTATAGAGAATGACTGGTGATGCCATACCATACAAGGCATACACCAAAAGAGGAGATGGATGATGAGCACAAGGTAGACCAAGAACAAGATTGAAAGGTAACATCAGAGAAACTCTACAACAGCACAGTGTGTCTATGTTTGAGGCAGCCAGAAGAGCAGGAAGCAGATCCTTCTATCTTCTCTAACACCTGAAGTGGTAAATGAGGAAGGGAAGAAAAAGATGTTGAAAAATCTGACTTTTTCTCCTCTACAGACCACTATCTAAAGGTTTGATCACCCATGTGACTCAAAGAGACGCATCTTGGAGGGCAGTCTAACAGGGCAATCCCAAATACTCCATTCAACTTCTAAGAAGGTTATAATTATGGTACCTGTACCAAGTACTACTCTGATGTACTCTGCAGCCCGGTGCTGATAAAGAGATATTTTTATATTAACAGGCAGACAGGAGATACATGAAACAAACAAGTATATAATAAATTGATGCACACACACATGATTATATTCTAGTGAGACACATAAATCCCTGGTTCTAAAATTCAAAGTTACCTCGATCCTGTTCATATTGAACTTCCATAGTTGCATTTTTCATCGTTAACTCAATATTGTATTACAAAAATTAACTGAATAGCCTCATAATTTGAGAGCAACAGCCTCTTTCAGTACCAAAAAACTCACAGTGCATTGATTGATTACTCTTTATATGGTACAGTTTTCTCTACTTTCTATATATCCAGACCTTCTGTTATGTTGACCAGCTCTAGCTCACTTGTTACTATAATTCCCTCTGTCCCAGACTACTTCAGCTTTATAAGACTCGACAAATTTTTGCTTCAAGGAATAACTACTTTAGTGTAGACAGTTTTTTGAGGTAAAATTTATCAGGGGTGGTAAAACCTTCAGGTGGCAGATAAGTAAATAATTTCATCCGCTTTATAAGACCCCCCTAGGACAGCGGGGTCCTCATCATGCGGTATTTGATAATCATGATTATCCACAACCTTCTGACTTGTGTACTATCAGTCAGGATTTGTCTATGCCGTGATGTCAGACTGTCCAGCATCCTCTCTCTTGGTCTCTCTCTGCCTCACCTCTCCTCCAACTTTTCCTACTGTCAAGATGTGCTCCAGTTTTTTCCTTTTCATGGTGTGACCAAACTATGTAGATTGTTTCTGATGTGGGCAACTGGTTCTCTTAGCGTGTCACTTACTTTCAAGACATCTTTATTACTCCTGTTATCTGTCCAGGATATTCTCATCATTCACTTGAAGAACCACATCTCCACTACTTCCAAATAATTTTTCACGAATCATCCAGCTGTCCATTGTTCACATCCTCAGCAGCCGTGAGAGGGCAAAAACAGTAAACCCTTATCAACTTAAACAGGATGTTTGAGGTCTACTCCTGTTTGTCATCAGATGTGTTGCTCATGATGTAATTGAGTTGCCAAGCTAGCCAGATATAACATCAAAGAAAGCAAAACAGTGCTATTAATATTTTTATGTCTGCTGCTTATATCTTAAAAGGATGCAACTTTGTTATTTAATTTCCTTACAATTCTGGTGAATTAACAGATGAGGGGGTTCCCCATTTTAATTCTGGTGATCCCATGAGGGGAAAAGGGGGTGGGGGGGAGAAAAATAGACCCACTACCCCATAACAAGTATGTTGTACAAGGTTATTAGGTTTTTCCCCCTCCAAAGGTCAGAGTGCATCTACATGAGAGGCGAGGAACAAAAAGTCTGCACACACATAAGTGAGATCTGTAAAATGAATGTACATGCAAACCTCAGGTTCTTCTTCTTCTTCTTCTTCTTCTTCTTCGCTTTCACTGGCTGTACACTCAGGTAGTTTTTCCACCTCTGGACTTTAGTCTTTTTCCAGAACCTGAGTGTTGCGTTCACATCTGTTCAACATATCTGACTTAATTATATGTAAATTGTTGTTCCTTGCCTCCCAGGCTGAAGGACTCCGACTTCGAAGGAATCCCCCCATTAGTTGACTCTTACAACATGCTTGTTGGGGAGGCAGTGGGTCTATCCTTGGTTTCTCCCCAGTAGGACCCCGGGACCCACATGGGGCTACCAAGATTCTGAAATAGGGCCAAAGTCCTGAAGTGGATGAACAACCAGAACATTCGGCCAAAGTTTACAGTTGGTGAATACTAAAAAGAGGAAGAGGATGTGAGGAAAGGATGCTTTCATTGGATAAGTCACTCACTGAGGTAACCTGATAACAGTACTCATAAAAAGTCCTTGCATTGAAACCCACAGTGTGAGAGGAATAAAGGCAAGAGAACATGTGGAAAAAAAGATTTTAGAGACTGAGGTGAACAAGATAAGGAGAACATAGGAATGGCTATGCATGAGTTGGTTGTGGACTTTACTCCATTGGGAATAAAAAGCAGAAAAAGAAACAAGTTTATTGTCCCAATACTCTTCTAAACTGTTCCAGTGTTACTGCAGTTTCTTTAGGCTTAGTGTTTTCTTATCAGTGGCTAAGAGGTTAGTGATCATGTTTAATAATCCTTGAGTATGAGAATCTGATTTCCATGGCAGGTGGTTTAGGAATAGACGGTTATTGTGGCTATTGGACAATGGTTTGAAAGTCTCACTGTGTGTGGAAGAGATTGGGGCCTCACCACATAATATTACTAGGGACATCAGTGGAGGGATTGCAGCCAACCTCTGTTGTGGAGAAACTAAACAAACAATTTTTCTCTAACCTTTTTTTTAATATTTCTGTTCTTAATCACTTCTATTGATTTCAGTAGTTTCAGTCTTGGACTTCTTTGTCAGTGTTCATTTTTGTCTAATGTTCATGTGTAGTCTGTTACTTGTTATCTTCCCCATATGGGTTCCAGGGCCACATTTTGGAAAGGGGTGGGGGGGGGGGGTGTAGACCCACTCCTCATCTTAAGAAAATGTCTTTAAATTTGATAGATAAGAGGTGTTTCCTTGTAAGTTGGAGTGCATCTGCCTGAGCGTCGAGGAACCAGCAGTCTGCATACAGGTAAGCCAAATCTGTAAAATGGATGTGTACATAAAACTCAGGTTCTGGAACAAGACTAATAGTGGGACAGACAACCAGAGTTTTGCACCTGAGTTTACATGCTGTAAATGTGAACAAAAGAAGAACATTTATCTCTTCTTTGTAGTTATGTATTTATCATAACATGTAGCTAAAATTTCTCTGGAATGCAGTGTCAGTGTATGTTGAACTGTGTCAATTTTGAATTCTGCTTTTAAGCATACAATTTGAGCATATAATTAAATGTTGTTGAGGAAATTTTTGAAAATGAAATGTGTTTTTCTGTTTTATTTGCGTAAATACCTGCTTGGCTTGATATAAATAGAAGGGTGTTTCTTAATTGTAGCTGTGTTTTCTTGATTCAGAACTTTTCAAAAATTTATTTATTGTAAGATTTCTTTTAGTTGATGTTTCTATTATCAGCCACCATATTTATTATTGATGTGTTGCAATCTGTATGTTATTAATATGTTGAATAACAAACATAGTATAATGTTAAAGTTTGTGACTGGAATGTAGTGTTTGTGTTGAATTTCAGAATACTTCTAGCCATTATGACTCAATGAAGTTTCCTTGTTTGGAAAACCAGCTACTTGACATAATGAAAAATTCACCCCTGGAAGTTGAGGGAGTACAGATGCATGGTGACAATTTGAAAGGTATTTCTATTATATATTGAATCCACATGTAAATTTCTTCTTTTTTTTTCCTCCACCGTTTTTTTTTTTTTTTTTAGGGAGGCACTTGTCTGTCTGTAAGCATGGATCATCATCATCAAATATTTCCACCCTTGTGATAGTTATGAGGTTTACTGGTCAATCCATTCTATAAATGAATGTCTAGAGCCTCTGTCTTTGGTTCCCTGTATCAGAGGGATAGATATATGCACTCCAGTTTATAAATGTCATTCTTGGTCTACATCTTCTTTGTTTGCTGAGTATTTTGCCTTCTGGTACTCACCTTAGTGTTTTTTTCATCACTTAGAAGGATGTAATAAAACCATGGAAGCTTGTGCTTTCACTTGTTTTCATATTGCTGTAATGGTTTTTTTTGGGTGGGGGGAGGGGGGTGTTAATTGTAACTTCTTCCTTTATCAATTATTATATGTACAGTGCTTTTTTAACTTCTTCTACGGTTCACTCTATTTAGATCTGTATTTCTTGAGTGGTAACTGTTTGTCTTCAGGGCATGTATTTTCACATTGTATATTCATACATGCTGTTTGGTTTTTGTTTAATCATTTCTGAAGAAGAAACACTAAAAGTCAGTATACAAATGTTTATTGCTAACATACTTCATTTTTCTATTTAAGTGCTGTTTGTGAAGTGTGTACCTTATTTATTGTTAAACCTTCATGGTTTAATTTCTAGTTAGCCTTTTTGTTGTTGTTGAAATACATTTTAAAAGATTACAGAATAGCAGTTGCTCTCATAGTAGTATTGAGTGTTAGGCCTTCACTTTTGCATGGTTCTATTCGGTATTTGACACACAAATTTCTGGTAGCCATTTTACTTTCAGAAAGTCAAAACTGCCAGTTCTATTCCAGAACTTTGCTGTGCAGATGATGCAGTCCTCCTTTCGAACAGTGTGAAGAGAATAGAACATTTAATAATGTTCTCTAGAAACACAAACCTATTCTTGAATTTAAAGAAGTAAAAATAGTGACCACAGACAAAAACTGGCTGTCACCCAAAAATAACAATAAATGTTGAAGAAATTTTAAATGTCACAAATTTTGAATGTCTAGGCTTCACAATAAATAGCAATGGAGCCTGTTCGACAGAAGTCAAAAGGAGGATGGCCATAGAAATACAAAGATTAAACAGTATTAAAAGTCTGTGGTTAAGCAACAGCAGGGAAATCAAAGGTAAAATTTGAGAGCATGCATCTGCCCCTGTAGCAGCATATGTATGTGAGTCAAGTACTGTCTCTCAGTCCTTAAGAAAGAATATAGGGTCTTTTGAGCTGAAATCATATAGAAAGATTCTCGGAATACCATGAACAAAGAAGAGAAAAAATGCTGACATTTTAAAAGATCTGAACATCAAGGAAGATTAGCTTATAGCATGTTCTCGGGAGCTGAGTGAATCCTTCGTTATGAAAGTGCACGAGGTAGAAGAGCTGGCGAGAGACTGAGTTTCTTTCAGGCAGGCTGTGATAAGAACGACATTTTGCAAAGGACCTGCTATGTGATGATGATGTTTAGACTAATCTTAAAAGGTTTCACCAGATGTCTTCCTTCATGTCTCATTGACATGGTGACAGAAAACATGCATGCTTACAAACACACACACACACATGCGTGCGCGCGCACACACGCACGCACACAAACGCGCACACACACACACATGAATATTTTAAAAGCAGAAATAATTCATATTGGGGTTATTATCTGAAATAGTATCTCATATTTTAGTTTCAGGAAAAATGCCATATGTCATTGAAGATTCAGTAATTGATGATGGTTCCCTTGACCATACTGTGTCCAGTCTGGCAGTAACGTCTCAGTCATCTAGTTCTCAAGGAATAGACCGCATTGAGCGGTTCTCTAGAAAAGTCTTTGTTGGGGGTTTACCTCCTGATATAGATGAGGGTAAGATTTGGAAGAACGTTCTCATATGTTTAGTTAGCTATGAAATACGTGAATAACTTTCTTGTACTTATTGAATAAACCTGACATGCCATATTGTACCAAAGGCTTCAAGTTGAGGAGTGCATTGGGGAGGATGCTGGCCTTATCCTAGAAATAGGAAGTGTAACCTTAAAACCTAATTTTGTGGCAGGGCATATACTCTTAGTCTTTGTGGACAGCTGATTTGTAAAGGACACTGCAGCAGATTGATAGAGAGAGCACTTATTTGGGAGCTTGTACAGCAAGCTTTGTTCCGTAATATTGGTTTTACCTTTATTTGGAGTAAACAAGGTAGGCTGAGAGAAGGATCATACTGCCTGAGCAATCTATGGTCTCTACACAACAACCCTGTCTTTGTGCTGTCACATGGAGACACTAAATCTCTGCCCTCAATTGGTCTCTGCAGTTATGGGATAAGTCTTTTAGACATTTGAGAATGTCACTGGTTTCAGGGTCAACCTCTGCTACATTATAAAGATGTGTGAAAGTGAGACATGAATGATACAGGTATTTAGTTAGATTCATGGTTATATGTTGCATTGACAGGAGTGGTCATAGAAGAAAATGAAGAGGAGTAGGGGGTAAATGCATAAGAGAAAATGATCGCAAATTGGTCAAGGGCTGAGCATTTGAGAAGAAACACATTAAATGTTGAATGTTGAATTAAGAATCAACATCACAGCGACTCGGGACACTCCCATAAGCCCTCCGTCCCCCATCTTCAGCAGCAAGCGAAGAGTTAAAATTTTGATGGTCCCAGTAACAGTCTGATTGTATATCCGTCTCGCCCCTCCCCTGAGTGTCGAATGTCGGTCAGATCCTCTTGTAACTCCTAGCAGTGCCATTCTCCTCAGACCGTTATGATCTATCTGTTCCTCTGCTTTGTTCACTCGCTCACAAAGGGCCCTCACAACATCCAGCTTGTGATATATCAGTTCACCATCAAGTGGTGCAGAACCGGCCAGTCTGTCCGACTGCTCATTTTCCAACACACTGGCGTAACCTGGAGAAAATATCCAAAGGATGCTAACAACCCGGGACCTCTGAAGTGATGCTTGCCACTCTGCACGGAGCATGCCTGTCTCCACCTTTCTCAGCATGCTCTGTGAGTCAGTTACAATGATGACATGTGTGTACAACTGATTCTCAAGCCAACTAGACGTTGTGATATCATATGCCAGGCCTTGTTGCGCCAAGTGACGTACATTCGCCTTCGCTATGAACCCCCATGCACTTCATCTACCCCTCACCACAGAGCCATCTGTATATACAATCGCATCACTTGGTCAGGAAATGTCATGAATCATTTGTTGAACTTCTGATTCTGCAACACCAGCTGGCCAGTCCCTGCACTCATGTCCCAAAGTGATTAGAACCCTAAAGAAGTCTGAAACATGATCAGAAACTTTAACCCACTCCTCTCCTCGCCTAAATTTATCAAGCATGCACACATGTCGAATTGTGTCTTCAGCTTGCGCCATCCAAGACTTTCCTCTTTATAGTCTGTGACCCTTAGCTCTATCCAGGGCTTCATGCAGGTGGTGCCTCTTGTCCACAGCTACTCTCAGATATGGCTTTGCTTGCAGAACTTTGAGCCTATCTGCAATAGTAGGCAGTGCAAGTATATATCGCATACATACTACTGGGGTATCTCTTGTACATCCCAGAATCACCCGCATGGCTTCATTCTGTATGCAGAAACACATTTATTGGCTCTTAAATCCCTTGTGCATATTGTAGAAAACTTTTCTCAACTCCGGCTGGTCTTACTAGTCATACTTGCCATCACCATGAGCTGTGATTTATATCAAACCTGATAGCTCACAAACAAATGCTTGTGAAAAAGTTACCATAAAAAACATACTTACCTACATGATTTGCCATCCTTTAAAACAAAATAATTTTGCTGATAATTCATTCTATATTTACTTTATCATTTCAGAGGAAATAACCACAGCTTTTAGAAGATTTGGTGCTCTTGTTGTTGACTGGCCCCACAAAGCAGAATCGAAATCATATTTCCCCCCAAAAGGTGAATAATCTTAGATATTTGAAATATATGCATGTACACAAAAAGTAATATATGATGCCTAATTAATATCTGCATGACAACTGCAAGAATATTTTGGTATTTTTAAAGAGCGGAATCTTTACTATTTTCATATATTAAAGTAGAATTTTTTAAAAAAACCAATAAGGACTCTTTTCCATACCCTCAGACATCAATCAGCACTTGATGGGTGGTCATGCTGGCTGCTTTTACTTCACAGCTCTGTACCTCATACCCATTTTAGGCTGGGTCAACCTGGGACCTGAGGTATTTAAAAAAAATATCCAACATGATTTGGATTTAAACCCACAGTCTTCAGGCCAGCAGGCGAGAATCTAGTGGCTTCCACCATTGTAGTAGTGAATAGAGTACATTTAGGAAAAGGAATCATTCTTTTTTAAATTCTGTCAAGTTTTCTAAAAAAACCAACCCACGAGACCCTTCTTCAGCCTTTTAACACACAGCCATTTATATCAAATAATCACATCACCTGACGAGAATTGTCATGAATCCGTTGTCCAGTTAGTTTCTACTTTGTAAGTGCCCACTGGCCAGTTCTTGGACTACTAACCCAGCGAGATTATGATCTTGCAAACAAACTAATCTCTGGCACTGTAACAAACTCTTCTTCCTAGCCAGTGTTCTCAAGCATTGTATGATTGATTGTGTCTTCTGTCTAAGCCGTCCATGATTTTGTTTTCTTATCATAATGTGACCATCAGTTAAGTTCCCACCAACTGCAAAAGACCTGCTCTAGTATGTCAGTAAACCTTACCATTGAAAGACTTCTACATTAATTTTGTAGGGTTTTGTTTATATATATATATATATATATATATATATTTTTTTTTTTACACACACACGCCCGCCCGCCCGCGTGCGTGCGTGTGCGCACGCATGCACGCGCGCGCGCGCGCGCACACACACACACACACACACATACAACTATATAAATAAATAAACAAAACCCTACAAAAATTAATGTAGAAGTCATATATATATATATATATATATATCAGAATTATAAATATAACTAATTTCTTTTATGACTGTAGATTTGCATTAGCTAGGCGATTTCTTGTTATCTACAGGTTATTGCTTCCTGATTTTCCAAGATGAGCTTTCAGTTCAGAGTTTGATTGAATCCTGTCTGATGGATGATGACAAGCTATATTGGTGTGTGTCTAGTCCCACCATGAAGGACAAGCCAGTGAGTGTATTTATTATAACTTGTGATTCACCTTAAAATCCGATGGCAGGCAAATTCACTTAATACCCTGGAAAGAAATCATTAGATACTTTGCACAGAATTCATGAAACAATGCATGTAGTTTACTATGCTTCTAAAGGAGAGAAGTAGTAAATGGACGTTGCTTAGTGCAGCAACATCATGTTTGAGAATGGAGGTGGAGGCAGTCACTGCAGCCTTCCACTGGCTTGAGAATCAGCTGTACCTATACACACATGTCGTAATTGTAACTGACTCACAGAGCATGTTGAGAAAGATGGAGACAGGTATGCCTCATGAAGAATGGCAAGCATCGCTTCAGAGTTCCCGGGTAGTTAGTATCCTATGGATATTTTCTCCAGTGCATGCCAGTGTGTTGGGAAATGAAGAGGCAGATGACTAGTTGATTCTACACAGCTTGGTAGTAAATTTTAGATGTGGTATTGCAATTGTTGGGGGGGGGGGGGGGGCATATAAACAGTGCATAGGCATATATGGATCATCATGGTCTGAGGAAAATGGTCCTGCAAGAAGTGACTAGGAGATCTAGCCGGCGATCAACACTCAGGGAAAAGGTGGGGCGGACATTCAATCAGAATGTTACTGGTACCATCGGAAATGGAACTGCTCTTTCTTCGGAAGATGGGGATGGTTCTTAATTAAACGTTAAACATTAAAAAAAAACATGCATGCACGCACACACACACACACACACACACACACATTTAATTCAATGAAACTAATGCTAATGTGACACATTCACAAAAACAAAACTGAACTGACTACTCAAAAATAAACAGATTGAAGTACAAGTAGTAAAGGGAAGTAAAGGATCACTTTTACATCAGTGGCTCTTCAGGCATATAATGCCAGTCTCATATTTTCATACCTGAATCGGCACTCGGTGGGTGATGTGGAAATTACCGGTGGCGATTTTAGGCTAGGTCGACCTTAAAGTCAAGGTCAGTTTTAAAATAATCCTACTCGTGATTTTGAACTTTAAACTTTTGGGCTGGCCGGTGAGAGTCTAACAACTACACTACTGCAGCCGCCATTGAACTCTTTAAGGCTGTTGAATTGCCACAGACTTTGCTCACGTTAATCTCCCTTTGCAAAAATGGCAGAGGGGATGGGGTCTATATATTGTTAAAAGAGGAATAAATGTATATTTTGAATTTGATGAAATGCTTTTGCATAGGTTCTAAGCTAGCTCCTGTCAAGTCCTCTAAGCTTTTGCCATCTCCTTCACTATCTCCATGTCCTCTTCATATTATTTTGTTGTTGTTTGACATATTCATGGCATTGTGATGCTGGGGTGTCTGTGGATTACCTACCTCCCCGGGCAGCTGCTAGAAATGCCCTGTACCAGTTCTAAAGGAAATATGGGTTGTGTTTCTGCCTTCCCCTTTAACACGTAGCTATGGTGGGGCTCACAGTGTGCTCATTCCCCGCCACCAGATTGCCTGCTGGTTTCACTGAGCTCTCTTCATGGCTCTAAGCATGGCCTAAGCATGAGTAGTTGGGGCAACTGGATCGTCACGTCCTGAGTCCCTGTGCCTTCACGATAGTTTCCATTTCTAAGACTGTTCAGCACACCTCCGGCTCCTTCCCTTCCACAGGGGGCAGTATGGTGTGGTGCACCGGGTTTATTATTGAGGTTTGCTCCTCTAGATCCATTGTGTTTTGCCTGGGGATTCGCACCCCCAGTTACCAGGACTACCTCAGGTAGGCTGTGACTCTTCCCCACGCACAATGGTCTTGAGGTAAGAGAGGTTTTGCTAGGTCAAGACACTAGACCCAGGGTGAAGAAAGGGGAGGGGGGGAACCACTACCCACAACACCAACACTTCTCACCCCCTGCCTCTCCAGGCTCAGTCCCCTTCATATTATTTACCAATGTCTGTAAATGTCTTCTTCATGTATCTTTTGAGTTCCACTCAGTCTCTTTTACAATGTAGGTTCCAGAGAATTTACATTTTAGTTATCTGTTAACATTGTTTCCTCCAAAGTTTAATCTAGCCAGTGGCATTGTGTTTTCTTCACCTCTTGGTTCACTGGAATTTATTTAGTTCTGTATTCACAGTTAACATTACTTAGTATGTTACAATATAATATGATTATAATTCACAATAGTGTATTATCTTTTGTTTGCAGTTGTTTTTTTTTTTTTCTTTTTAAAGCAAGAAAGCAATTGTTTTTGTTATTGTTGGTCTAACAGTATTATGCGTTCTAAAATACAAGGTTCAGATTCGTCCATGGAGCTTAAGTGATTCTGATTTTGTGATGGATGGTTCTCAACCACTCGATCCAAGAAAAACCATCTTTGTTGGAGGTGTTCCCAGACCCTTAAGAGCAGGTAATTAAGCCAGTTTTCAGTGTATAGTTTTTTTTCTGGTAGTACTACAATTTTTTTGACTGTTAGGTTTTTTAGGATAATCAGTTATACTCCAAATTATTTTAGAATAAGCATCTTTGTTTGTAATTTCTATTAACCTTATAATCTACAGCATTATTGAATCCCATCGCTAAGAGTATTGAGAAATACATGCATTTAGACAAAAACAGACTAATCTTTCATCCAATTCTTACCTGTTTTATTGTATTTGGATGTTTACATTAGAACTAGCTTTCACTGAGTTAACTTCATTACTGAATTCTTTTATTTTCAAGTTGAACTAGCAATGATCATGGATCGTCTGTATGGAGGTGTTTGTTACGCTGGCATAGACACAGACCCTGAGCTGAAATATCCTAAAGGTGCTGGGAGAGTTGCATTTTCTAACCAGCAGAGTTATATAGCTGCCATCAGTGCACGATTTGTGCAACTTCAGCATGGAGACATTGACAAAAGAGTGAGTGTGACATAAACAAAATTTTCTAAGAACTTAAGCTACCCACTTTTGTCATTACTATTTTTTCTTTGTTAGTGAAGTCGTTGGGTGCGCATTTGCTAGACTCTTGCATCCTAGCCTGAAGGTCTTAAATTAGAACCTGTATTGTGTCAGATAATTATAATTAATCTTCCCTCAGTCTAAAATAGGTACAAGGAAATGTCCTGGAAAGTTGAGGCAGCTGGCTGGATTTCACAACATTCCCCATCAAATGCTGATTTTTCTATACACATATGAGGTCTGTCACGAGATACCCTATGCACTAATGATATGCAAAAGGTCCTTTAACTCCTTCAGCACTGAGCAACGCATAGTGTACTTTCTATAAAAACTACATGTTTTGCTTTTGTTAACTGATTATGCTTCTCCCAGATTTGTATTTTAAATTATTATATTAATAATTCATAATCTGTTTAAAACACCATTGATCATTGGCATCATGAGGGCTCATAGACTGAAATGGCTAGGGCATATTGAGAGTATGTCAGATAACAGAGGTAAAAACTGTATACACAAAGGAGCTGAATAGTCGTAGACCATCAGGAGAGATAATGTCCAGACAGACCTACAGACACTTGGTGTCACCAACCAGAGAGATGCATAGCAGCGAAGGATATCTGCAGCAGTGAACTTCAAGTGCTCTGGATGCTGAAGAAATAGAAGATTTTGTGTGTTATCATTTGAACAGGTTGAGAGCCAGGCAAATTTTACTTAAGGTAATGTTAGTTGAGGATTTATTGATTTACATCAGTGCCTAACTGTGAAACAAAAAATTTCTGCTTTGTAGTTTTGTTCTTTAACAGTCTTGAGTATTTCATATTGCAGGTTGAGGTTAAACCTTATGTTCTGGATGATCAGATGTGTGATGAATGTCATGGAGCTCGCTGTGCTGGCAAGTTTGCACCATTCTTTTGTGCCAATGTGACCTGTCTGCAGTATTACTGTGAGTACTGCTGGGCACAGATCCATTCTCGCCCAGGCAGAGAATATCATAAGCCACTGGTGAAGGAAGGGGCTGATCGGCCCCGTGCTGTTCCCTTCCGGTGGTGCTGAGAGCTGGCCTGGGCTGCTGAGTTGCTTGGACATATTAAACTTTTCATATTTTTCTTGTTTTAGTTATTGCTTTGAGAGTTCTAGTTTTCATTTCTAGTCGGTTTTTTAAACTACATTTTTTTAAAGTAAATTTTAAATGCGTAATAAGAATTTTGAGACTGTATTTGTGAGTCTTTTCTTTCATTGCAGTATTGTTAACTTGCACATTTTGATAAAGTACTTTAATTAATAGGGTGCCATCTTAGCACAGTAGATAGATAGTACACTCGCCTGTTGGCTCAGTGGTTGAATGTTTAAATTCCCATACAGTTGGGAATGGTTTTTAAGACCTAAGCTTTCTGGATGACATGGCCAAAACTTGGCACTGCAAAAGGAAATTAAAGTTGACTGCTGTGATATTGACTATTTGTCATTTGCCAGTTCCTGCAGTGTGAGTTGCGGTGCCCCATTTTGGGGTGGGGGGGGGGGGGAAACAGACCCACTGCCACCCAATAAAGCATGTTGGAAGAGGCAATTAGGGATGTTTCCTTTCTGCATGTTAAAAAAAAAAGCCATATGCATGCGATCTCAAGTTCTGGAACAAGATCAAAGTCCAAAAGTGGATGAACAACCAGAACTTTCTGCCAGAGTTTACAGCTGGTGAACGCGAAGAAGATTAAGAAGAAAAATGTTGTCAGTTCCTCTGAAGTACGGTGCAAACACTATATACTCAGTACATCTCAGGTGCAGCAAAGACAGTTACCTGTCTGTTGTACTAGAACTACATTCTTTGTTGGTTTTTTAACTTCACATTCAAGTTTTAGCTGAATTATTGATTCTACTGCAGTACTGCTGTCTAGTTCTCTTTTGCATGTTTGATGCATTCTGTTACCCACAGGTTTTATTGCAGTAACTAAATGTTATCAGAATTCTAGTCCATTTTTATTCAAGAGTCTCATAATGGATCTACTTGTATAAATATATGTGCCATTAGTTTGTTTTTCAGTTGCATATTTGCATTTTCAAAAAGTAAATGTATACACATTGGGCTCCAGTTCTCACCCTGTCATGTCACATAACATTGCTAACATTTTATGTGGTATAAAACAATTATTTCTAATATCTGGTTAAAGCTTTGAATCACACTTTGAAATAGCATTACTCCATTAGTCTCAGGCACAGTAAAGCTTCTATAGTGAAGTTTTGCCATTTGCAAAGCAGTTTTAATTTTAACTGTTCAGTTTAAGTGAATTATATACAGCTTAAAACTTTACTTAATTGTATATCATCCAAAAAAAAAAAAATAGTGATATTTATTGTATCATATATTAACTGTATGCTGTAACTACTTTGAGATCTGCATGTTTTGACCTACCTTGTCTGTGTAGCATGTTGTGATAGAATCACTGAGACCAGTTATCTTTCTTGAATTTGACTTTGTTTAAAAACACACATAAATTGTGATTTAAACACTTTTTGCTGTCTCATCATTTATTGGTACTGTTCAGATGTTACACTGCAGTCAGTTTTTACATTGTTCAGCCAGATTTTTTTTTTTTAAATTAGTCTTGTAGCTGATATTGAACAATATTGTTAGAAACTTAGCAAGATAGTGATTCAAGTAAAATATGGCAGATGGACCAGCTTTGAAAGTGACATTTGCGTTATTCCTCTTTGTTCCTCTTTCAAGGTGAGTGAGTGCACTGTACCTAGTTTTGCACCTTTCTAGCTGAGTGATCTGTGTGTCCCAGTATCATTGTGTATTAGTGCAAGGTGTTTTCCTTCTAACTGAACAGATTGCATTCAAAGTAACTAGGTCTTTCTATATGTGTTTAGGACTGTTTTCCTCTAACAGTTTTTCCAGGGGCAACAGATATTTTGCTGAGGTCTGTAGATAAAGCTACACCAGTAGCAGTAGAGCCCCAGTAGAACACTGTGACGGATATACCGATAATGGGCTGTGGCAGAAGATACCACTGTACTAGTATAGTATTAAAATAGAATAAACTAGAGCCCTAATATGAATGTCTGCCTAATCTTTGTCTTAATTTTCTCACCACTAATTCTGCCACTAACTGCTAATGCTGTCTGTATTTACCACTTTTGCAGTATAGGCTCAGGTCTTTGAGCTAGTGCTGTATCTACAGACTGCAGGTTAAGATTTTATTTTTGTCCCTGACAGAAAAAATCCACAACCTTAATGAGGTTCAAACCTGGGTCTTTTGCACGAGAGCCCAGCATTTTTAACCATCCCATAAACCGCTCCTCTGTCGGTAATTTTGCACTACCTAATATCCAAGGCAGTGTTTCACAGCCACTCCATTATAAACGCATTCATCTCCATGGAGTAGACTCTCCAGCATTGTCACTGGCCAGTTTTAGACTTTACTGTCATGCTATCATTCGGGGTTCCAACTTCATTGGAAAATATCCCTCCATAATTTCCCAGTTCCTGTGAAAGTGAAAAACCATACAACAAATAGGTATAGCTGCTCTGTGTAAAAACCCAAACAGACTGCAGTTGCTGCAAAATCCAAGAGCTTGCTCACATATCAGATGCATATGGCTTATTCACAGAAGCTGTGATGACTAACAACTATCTTCATTAAAGCTGCAGCAATCCTGTTTGTTAGCTATGTATTCACATCACATTGTTTCCGACATGATAGCAGGGTCTCATTGTCAACTCTGTTAATAACTTCTTTTCTTGTGTTGCAGAGACTGTTCCTTCCCTTCTCTAAAATCCCTCATAATTGTATTCAGATGTCTTTGCATTTGTCATTTGTTCATAGTCTGTTCAGAATCTGCAGGTTTTCTAGGTGGGTGGAGTCAGTTCAGATAATGCTTTCTGTAGCTATATATATTTTGTAAAATTACCAGTAACTGCTCACGTTAGATGGGTCTTTCCCACATGTAGAAATAGTGTACAACCAGCCTTCTGATGAAGAAGAGTACCTTAGACAGCTACTGAAGTCCTTCTGTGCTTCTTAAAGGACTGCGTCATCAAATTGTTGAAGATACTACAATACTAGTTGATCTCTATGACTAAAGTTAACGGAAAAACATTGTTTTGAAATAACAGCATTTTTTTTTCTCCAGACTATCAGTCCTTCTGTGGTTCTGTAAAGAAATTCACTTTTGTCAGATAACTAGGAATATCTTCAGTATTGGCCAGTGAAAACTTGTTGAATGGTGTCAGACGGCTGACTAAACATTTTGTTGCATGCATATTATTGTAACTTTTTTTAAATTTGGTATTTCACAACTGTGATGTTTTCACCTGAATACATTCTATGGGTAGAATTGTACATATGATATGCATATATATTTATAAAACAACTTTGTATTTTCAGATTTCCCTGTATTACTCAATAATTATTTCATTATTTATTAACCAAAGTCTATTTAGGAAAACAATGCATTCCAGTGTTTGTACTATTGCAATAACTTGCACACATTGAATTGTCTTCTTTCATAGAATTTTTTTTTTTTAGAAATGTGTGCATATTTTTCAGGGAGAATGGCAAGTAAAAAAATGTACTGGTCTGATAATAGAACTTGTCTAATGTGAACATCTCTTCCTGGCATTGATGTTGAAGAGATGGTAGAGTTAACAGAATGCTGTTTATATTTCGCAGCTTGCAGTCAGTCAGGAGTTTTTCCTCATCATTGCATTTCCTTATGTTATTTTTATTGAGAACCTGATGAATCTCTTTGTGTCTAGTCACATTTACCAGTTTATTATATTCTCTTTGGTGATTGTTCCATAACGTACCCATATAACTTATTTTTAACTATAAACATGTACAGGAAAGCAACACTAGCTAACTGTTTCAAAACATTTTGAATTTGTTTTCATGTATGTTAAAGTTCTTGTTCCCATGTTGACATTTAATTTAATTGTTTGCATTTAAAAAAAAACAAAAAACAGAAATTCACATATTTTTTAAATATTTTGCTTTTTTTGGGCATCTCGTTTGTTATAATTTTTTTTCTCAAAATGTTAACTTAATACCCGTGCCACTTTGTTGGTGCCAGGCTTCCACATTTTAATTGTTTAAAACATACAAACAGCATGACCTGCAGAAGCTAATACAGACTTCGATGGTGCCAGTCTTGTGTGGTGTTTAGTGCTGTACGTCTTCTCGGTGAATATTTTCACATGTTATGTTGTATACTTATTCATATTTTTAACAAGAAAAGTTTATGATTTATTTATCTGTGAACTGTGATGCCAAGTTATTATTAATGACACCAGATCACACTTATTCAGCGGGGATCCGCCATGGTGTAGCGGCTAAATGCTCGCCTTGAGTCCGAAGGTCATGTATTCTAATCCGCTTTGAACTGGATTTTTTTTTTAAAGAAACGACCTGAGCTCCCAGGTCGACCTAGCCTGAAATGAATACCAGGTGAAGTCCTGGGAAGTAAAGGTGGTCACCGTGATGTTGACCACATCACTCACCGAGTGTAGATTGGTCAGTAAATGTAGATCTGTATGCCCTGTCTATATATATATGCCCTGAAAAAGGCATGGAAAAGGGTCCTTTTACACTTGTTCAGTTTTCCCCCAGTCCAGTCTGAATTGATTCCTAAAATAGTTTGACAAAGTTACAGTTATTAGAACTACTTGTTACATTTTAAGACTTTATTTTTAGAATCCTGCATTCCGATAGTTTAAAGACAATGAGCCCAGTGTAAGATTACGAGACATACTTTTTTCAAGTCATAGTTTCATAGGATGGATATCAAATCCCATTCCTCCCCGTCTTTTCTGTACAGTATCATAGAAATTCATTTATTGTCCTGTTGTGCCGTTACGAATCACATAGGGCTCACAGTTTATCCCTCCATGCCATTATATCTTGTGCAATCACTTTGATATCATGTATGGAATCCAGTCCAGCACCTTTGCCTTCTCTCATTAGCATCCACCATATGGTTTCTCTTAGATGTCTTCGTTTCCTCAGTCCATCTGTTTCTCATTTCAATGGCGATTAGGTTCTAATCGTTAAAATAGG